AAAATATTTTGAGCATTTAATGAATCAGGGTCAATCAGGTGATAATATAATGCAGTGTAGTACCTGTATCTGGAGTAGAAGAGACTTGCTGTGCGGCAGGGTCAAACCTCTCGTGCCAATCTATGGTCTTATGGTAACTCATCATGACTTCCCACAATGCTTTGCACAAATTCACGAGGCACGGGATGTACGTATCCACAGTGATATGCTGCGTGTGTGCAAATAAAAAAATAGAACAGCATTGTTAGATTGGTTCATAATGTACATCCTACACACCTGTTGTACTTTTTTTATTAGAAGCACACTTACAATTAAATGGCAGAGGTATGTCTATGGTCATATTTTAATGATCTAATACACAAAATTATGAGTCCTTCATTTGTAAATATTTATATGAATCTTGCTGATAGCCATGTGTTCTCTTCAAGTAGAAGCTTAGTTAATTGCAAAAACTTTTGCGGTAATAATAATAGACTGAATTACATTACTTAGTCTTCCTAGTTTAACATTTTGAAATGTGGTTTGACACAGATGGATTTAGAGATTTGTTATATGAGCAGTAACTATGTCAACTGCACATACAGATGTCTATCCCGAGTAACAAAGCTTACAGCTATGCATACTTAGTGACACCATCATTTTTGTACATGACACATACTAGATCAAATATACCAAGTGATAAATTTTAAAATTCAAGACTCACCCCACAAAGATCCCTGTACGGCATCTTCTGAAAATTAGTATTGTCACTTCCTGCACATAGCTCTACATATCCTAACACGATAGTAAATGCTGTATTGTGTATTGCACTAGTAAAATGCATATGGAGTTGATCCATTGCTGTCTGAAATCAACAACAAATATTAATGATATAATACAACTGCTCTCACCAGGCAGAAACTTCTTAATATAGTCAGTAAAATTTAATGGATGCAAGATCAATAACTCTATTTCACCTGGCATGCTTTTAAATCATGAAAATGACACATCATAAAAACTGAACAGACCTGTAAAATTAGGACTGTTAAATCTATGATGTAATTACGTATTATATAAAGATGATTTGGTAACTAGCTTTCCAATTTAGATTTCATGTAACTATAAGTTTGACATGGATTAAAAATACAACGATTGAAAAACCCCTGGGCCAGTAAATTGCAATTATACATTTTACATATAGCGGTATGCACCATTACTCAGCCAAGTACTTAACACTAGTTGCAAACATTTGACAGCAGATTATAGGATTACAGGAAGAATGAGTCATTACCTGTGTTTTTCCCAGCAGTCTGTAAGCTGTCTGGACTTTGTTATAATGATGTGTATCAAAGTTTAAACATGTCTTAGCAAGAGCTTGATCAAGTTGCTCCTGAAACACAAAACATTATAATGCATTAGGCTGACACACTGGTGTGTAAGCAAACATGAAATAGTAATAGCAGTAATGAAGCATGCATAATAATGGTATGTAATAGTACATTGTGTGATGTAATAGTGTGTATGTATGAAGTTTGAAGTGAATTGCTCAAGGCATGTCTAAAATAGAATTTATCAAATACAAAATGACCGTCATTTGGCCTTTTGATTCGAAATTACAAATCAAAGTGGCATGCAAAGCTACTTATAGTGGTTAATCCTTCTACCAGGTTTGAAGTAAATCAACCACTACATGTCCAAGATCTGGTTCCGGATATATCAAAATACCTGATTTTAGTGTATTTTTACAACAAAAATGTCCGCCAAAATGACCATCTTTGACCAAATCAAAAAAATCACTGCATAATTATCAAATAAGGTATTAAGTATGTGTGAGATTTGAAGAGAATTGGCATTAAAAAGTATGTAGGTCAAATGTATTTATTTTGTAATTCCATCATTGTAACATGGAAACTCTCTGCTCTACCTACTTGGGTTATTTGAAATCCTGCCCTGGTTGTTGGTTGAGGAACACCTGATGCATTGTTTGTTTTTTTTTCAATCCATGTATGAATACAGAGCCAAATTGAATAGAATGTTATGAAAGACAAGCTAGCTACACAAGTAAACAACACTTTAGACAGCTGACAATCTCTAACAATACACAAACAGTATTTCATGTTGACATCCTCCTATCTCTTTGATACATGAAGTAGGGTAATGTCATTTATATAGGTATATATATATTACCGGTAGGTATTTGTAATTGCACACTTATATTACACTTAAAAAAATATATTCTTTGCCTGGCCAACTGTTAAAATGTTTAATTAACCAAGCTTTTATAAACAACAAAAGCTCCATTCAAAAACAAGTCCATGTTTATTACTGAAAATGCAACCACAAAAATCAAAGTTTGCCATCTACAATGTACATAAAATATCCACTTTGCATCAAACATAATACCTGTCAATTTTTGGCAAACAAACCGAGTGTGCCCACTGCATTCCCTTTTTTTGTTACTATTATTTTTCAGAAAGTTTTCTGGTTGGTCTACCTATCTACAGTACATCACTTGCTCTATGTATTATATGCAGTTCAAGTGAAATTAACATTATTCACGTTTATAATTAAGTACTTTAGCATTAAAAAAATCTTTAAAAATGACCAAAACACAACACATTTTGAAGTTACTAACTGTGAATGAGATGCACCTTGTTCATGAGAGAATTAATATTTAGAATATCCTTATTAACTTACCTCTATCATTTCTAATGTATCTTGAAGTTTGGAATTCAATTCACTACAAGACAAGAAAAGAAAAAATAGTCAGACATGATATATGAAGAATGGTATCACTTATTTAAATGTTTAATATCTTTGTTTATGTATAAAATGAATACAAAAATAATAATATTTTGATGAAACATATTACACATTTATACATGTATGTTATTTTTGTGTATAATTCCCCCTTGGCAACGGGTCTTGGTCAAAATTTATGAAAAAACTATGGAAAAAAATCATCGCTTGAAAAAAACCAAAAGTTGGTGTTTTAAATACAAGTCTAATGTACCTTATGCATGTGAAATGTTTAAACGTACTGGCAGCTTTTTGACATTCTAAACATAACTGGATCGCTCCAGGGTAGTCTTCCTCCTGGAATAACAAAAAAAAAGTCGGTTCAATGACGATATGTTTAATATGTACTTTACTGCTCTTATCATTACTTGAAAGTATCACATATTTAACAGCAATTTACAGGAACATACAGGCATACTAATGATAAATGATGTAATCATGACCTACCTCCATCATTTCACGTAACCTGATATCTGTCCTTTGCTGTCAAAACAAAACAATTACAAGAGTGAGACAATCACAAAATAATTATGTAAACTGAATCACTGTTGCAGTCACGGAAATACACATTCAGACTGGAAGTTATATATTCATTGACAGGAACATTTCTGTTAAAGCATCCGTGTCATTGTACTGCATCATGTGTTTGGTATGGCTCCTATGTGGTGCTTAAGAATACATCTGTATATCTATAACATGATGTAGAATGAATATATAAAATTGTAAGTCAAATCATGTCAGAGATATGGCTCTAGAACCACAATCATTATAACAAAATTTAAATCCGATCTGAAAAACAAAATGACGTGCATCAAGGTCCCATAATGTCCAACATATGCACCAAGTTTGAACAAAATCCATCCATAAATGCTTGATTTAGATGATTTTTCAGCACAAAAATGTCCACCATTCGACCATTTTGAATCAGATCGTTAAACAAATTGATGTGCATATGTACAATATTATGTTTGAAGTTGTAATGTAATCAGTCCAGGCATGTCTAAGATATAGGTCTGGATGCACGCACAGACAGACACAGGGACGCACAGAGGTCAAACCATAAGTCCCCGTTTTCGCACTGCATCCGAACAGAGACTAAAAAATCATTATTACAGGGTTACTTTAATGTAGAGAAATTGGAGCACGTAGCACTGCTGGTTCATCTTTCCACTAGTGAAATATATTCTGTATATACACATGTATTACCGGTACCGTTATTTATAATTTGGGAAGGGTAGAGATTATTAAATGTGCAAAGTGAACTGATCATTTAGGTGTTGTGAAGTCTTACCAATGTTTTAATTGTATGAAGCGATCTCATCAAGCTGACTAGCTGTAATCGTTTTCTGTGATTAGATAAAATACTTAAAGATGCTACGGTAAAGTCTTTCTTAGCCAGTGACAGTTGTCTGCAAGAAATGAATGAAGGAATAAATGAATATTTAAACAATATTGATTTATTTTTGACCAACAGCTGATGTGGGTGGCTGACTTATGCGACTCTGTACTAAATTTGTACATTAAAATCTTAGTATATGAATACAAACATTTGTTTGGATTGTTCAGGTATGTTGTGGTATGCAATGAGCATAATTTCAGCAAGAATGTCATTATTTACATTTCATTGTTTGTACAAGATACTCGGATATCCCAAAAATAGGAATAAATGTCAAGTGAGAATTGAGCTTAAACTGAGAAAAGACACAACCCAAACTGCAAATATATATTCTATTTCAGGATACAATTAGGAAAAGCTTTTAACATGGGGAAGTTAAATCTATGTACATGACATAGGGTGGTCTATGAGGGTGTGAAAAAGTTATGAGCAAGTGTGGTAAAAATTACCTTCTACCATTTGCACATATCACATTTGCTGTCTGTAAATTTGTCTGCAACTCCATCACTCTTTGCAGCTCCTGAAAATTTAAGGAAATCCTAATCGTCTTAAAATCATATCATATCATACAATGAAGTGAATTTAAAGGATTATGGTGATGAACACAATCATGATAATGAAAATAAATCTGAACATGGATTATCTATTATCATGATTATATAAAAATAGTGAACTCCCACTACAATAAAGTGTCATGTGATTTAATATCAGGCTTGATAGTTTATTTATATGCCACTGTAGTAGAGCCTGAAACTATGACAACTAAAGTTGATTGACATCATCAGCGCCTACCTTGACATATGCAGATTGGTTTTCCAATACAAGATCCGATACTTTTTTAGATACCTGAATAAGTAAGAAGGCAAGTGAAATTAGTAAACATATCATAGCATGTTTGGAAATGGCAGTATGTATTTTTTTAAATTAAGCAAGATGTATGGCCTTACTCAGAAAAAGAGATGAATGGAGCAATTAGAAGTTGTTGACAGGTAGACTTTGAAACAAGGCATGTACACACACTTCTAATACATGCATAACTATACTAAGCAACACAGATTTTGGTATTCACAAGTTGTTACTCTTTAAAACCAAATTTTTTTTTTCTAGGCTACACTTCTTGCTTTTTTTGTTTTAGTTGATAAATGCAATTGCATGTTATTGTACACACTAGTCTCCAAAACATAATATTAAGTTTTTGGAAGGCAGGGCAGACTGTACTGACGGTAAAGTGCTCTGAGAATCAAAGCCATAACCTCCCTGATGTGTGGTGAAAACATTAAGTACTGAACTATCACTTGGGTTCAGATGAGTTCACTTGGGTTCAGATGAGTTCACTTACTGCCTGTAACTGTTTTCTTAGCACATCTCTGTCTTCATCCATCTTATCTAAATCAATAGGTTGTGTACTGTCCAGTTTCTAATGAAAGCAAGTAAAAGAACATAATTATATATTAAATAATTATTCCCCCCTGATTGGATTTGAGGTCAAATATGTAGTATTGGGTACTGACAGCCATGACACCAAATAATCACGTTTAATGTGTACTATAACAATACTATAAATATTGATATTTTGGGGAAATATTTTTTTTTTATAGCAAGACACTTCACTATGGGCGTCATTCAAAATCAGTGACAATCATTCCCAAAGACATTTATTTACAATTTTATAAACCTAAACTTGCTGGGTAATTCCCCATCATCAATAAGATTTTGTTGACTTTTCAGGCCCATTTTAACAAGTTCAAAATCACTGAGGATATTTTTGTAATAATGCGGGGGACTTGCTGGAATTTTTTTTTATTTTTTGGAAATATATTCACTGACATTAATTTTGTGTTTACATTTTCCCAAATTACATTTCATAAGAAGTTCAATTTTTCTTTCTTTTCTCCTTAATGAAACCCTTCACCCCACCTCAGTTTTTAAATGTAGAACCAATTATGGTATAATTAGTAGAGAATCAATATAGAAACATTTGCAGTATATCATATTCAGTGCTTGTATGTTGTGTTTTACAACATAAATGCCACCATTTTTTTATGGTTGAATATTGCGAATTTGTTTACAAATCTGCACCAAGGTGTTTAGAATGAATTGGTGTTCAGTAAATAAAGGTGTTCAGTATATAAAGATGTTCAGCATAATAAAGGTGTTCAGTATACAAAGGTGTTCAGTATACAAAGGTGTTCAGTATACAAAGGTGTTCAGTATACAAAGGTGTTCAGTATATAAAGGTGTTCAGCATAATAAAGATGTTTAGTATAGAGGTGTTCAGCATATAAAGGTGTTTAGTATATAAAGGTGTTTAGCATAATAAAGATGTTTAGTATAGGTGTTCAGTATATAAAGGTGTTTAGTATATAAAGGTGTTCAGCATATATAAAGATGTTTAGTATAGAGGTGTTCAGTATATAAAGGTATTCAGCATATATAAAGATGTTTAGTATAGAGGTGTTCAGTATATAAAGGTGTTCAGCATATATAAAGATGTTTAGTATAGAGGTGTTCAGTAAATAAAAGTGTTTAGTATATAAAGATGTTCAGTAAATAAAAGTGTTAGTATATAAAGATGTTCAGTATATAAACATGTTTAGTATAGAGGTGTTCAGTATATAAAGGTGTTCAGTATATAAAGGTGTTCAGCATATATAAAGATGTTTAGTATAGAGGTGTTCAGTATATAAAGGTGTTTAGTATATAAAGGTGTGCAGCATAATAAGATGTTTAGTATAGAGGTGTTCAGTATATAAAGGTGTTCAGTATATAAAGGTGTTTAGTATATAAAGGTGTTTAGTATATAAAGGTGTTTAGTATATAAAGGTGTTTAGTATATAAAGGTGTTTAGTATATAAAGGTGTTCAGTATATAAAGGTGTTCAGTATATAAAGGTGTTCAGTATATAGAGGTGTTCAGTATATAAAGATATTTAGTATAGAGGTGTTCAGTATATAAAGGCATTCTGAGTTTATACAAATTTTCTGTTTACACAAGCCCTATGTAATATCTGCTCCAAAAAAAAAAAAGCAGCATCATTACTGCTTAATCCCTTTGAGAAATGATGACCAATTGGTCCACAACTGGCAAAGAAATTATAGAAATTACATAAAATGACCAGAATGTTGGTAGGAAACATTTTATCATGCAAAGTACTCACCTTAAGCTCGTATCGAGAAGAGTCAAAACTGTCATCACTGAAATAAACATCCTCTATACTGGAAATTAACTGTAATTTAACCAATATAATAAACAATAAGCTTAATAGTTGACTGACTTTATTAAACTCACAGGATCTGAGATTAAATTTTAACAGCTATTTGCATGTGCTGGTACATGACAATTCAAACAAGCAGCCTGTCGGCTGAGATAGCTCCGCTGTTAGCAATGCACATTTCAATTAAAGAACTGAAGATATTATTAGAAAATAAACAATATGTATAGTATCAAAGCAATCAGACTTGCTGTTTTCAACAAAAATGTCAAAAATATTCATTAAAATTAGATAATTGAAGATATCATCACAAAATGAACAAATTTGAGAGAGGTCTACCTGAGGTACCTATATGTATAGTATCAAAGCAATCAGACTTGCTGTTTTCAACAAAAATGTCAAAAATATTCATTAAAATTAGATAATTGAAGATATCATCACAAAATGAACAAATCTGAGAGAGGTACATGTACATGTAGTACCTATATATGCAATATCAAAGCAATCGGACATACGGTTTTTAACAAGAAAATATCACTTTTTACCAAAAATGACAAAAATATTTACCAAAATTAGAGAATTGAAGATATCATCATGAAATGAACAAATCTAAGAGAGGTCTACCCAAGGTACATATACACCAAGTATCAAAGCATTCTGGCTTGTAGTTTTCAAGAAGTCAAAAAAGTAAAACATTGACACGGACGCCGACGACGGACAATCACTCATATGATAAGCCCCGCTTGACAAAGTCGACAGCGGAGCTAATAAAATATGTTAGTGTTAGAACTCATATATTTCATGAACATTTGTAATTTTTGAATGAATATCAAATAGTGTGTATGGTTATGAATGATCATTTACCTCAGCCTGCTCCAAGGGATCTCTGGCAAACTCGCGATCTTCTTCCTGAGATACAAAAACCTTTGATTAATTGATGAAGTAATTTGCTCTTAACATGTGGCAGTCATTTCTAACTAATTTACATACCAAGTCTCGCTTTTGGGTCCCCTATAAAATACATACTATTTGCCTCTGATACATCCATTAATGTGAAAGGCTTGAAACACAAATAATCATTAATGGACGCTGTATGATAAAAGTAAATTAGACTGTCCACTACACTGTGTAATGGAGGATATATACATAATAGTTGAAGTACACACAAGACTGTAGTTTTGTGATTTTTGCATGGGGTGTAATTTCACAGGTATTACTTTATTTATCTGAAAAATCAACCACTGCAAAAGATCACCCATTGGCGATGTTTCAGCACCTGAGCGATCTTTTGGTACCACAAAAACAGTTGAATATCGGTTGTAAGACACATTTTTTTTTTGAGAACACAAATTAATAAGATACAAATCAGCTTTGGCAGGTTTAGTGAGAACACAACAACACTATACAAGCAAACACACAAACCTGGTCCAACACAAGTATGTTTTCACTGCATTAATACACAATATATAAACAAGAATGACATCACCTGTCATCATTGTTACAACTTCATAATATCATATAAATTTAGAAACAGTGTTGTTTACACCTCTAAACGTAATTTTTTTTAAATTAAAAACAGTTCAACTGTATCTTTATTTCACAATTTACATACTTTTTTCGACCCAACTGTTTCAAACAACAAATGTTTCAATTCTATAACAATCAGAACAGTGAAAATATAAATGAAAGATGAGCTGGATATTGTGAATATTTTTTTTTTTTTCAAAAAATGCCTGCTGTGAATAGGTTTCCATTTTAAGAGCTCTAATCCCCACCTCTAATCATGATCATTGAATCTTTGCCCAAAATAATTTTTGAACATGTCAAATACACAATGCACAATACACAATGAATCATTATTCCCAGACAAAAACTATGGCTGCAACATCTGTCCTCATACCATGTAACAAGAACACCGTTTTCAAAGTTTTGCAATCTGACACTAGATTTAAAGATGAGCAAAGGGGAAATTTTCATACCACTGGTTTTCATATTTGGTTGCCCCATGACAAAAGTGGTTGTCAGGGACAACCAATCATCCACATTTTATTTCAATGATTACCGAGACATGCATCCTAACAAAAAAAAACTTCCACCAACAACTCCAAATAGATGTGAATGCAGTCTGTACCTTGTACTTGTAAATCGGCTCGTAGCCTGGACTTGACTGATCATCGTCTAAAGATGAACTCCTCTGCTTTGAACCCTGTTGTAATATAGTTTAAATAAAAGCATTCAATACATTAAATCTTGATGAAGACACTGGATATTTATCATGGAACATTTTGGGAGATGCCCATATTTTATAGTTTCCAGTAAATCGAAATACAGTTAACTGTTTATTAACATTTGAGTTACTAAATTTGAATGTTAAAAAGAACAAAAAAATCTATGTTACCATTAACTCAATGTTTGGTTAACTGTTAATTAAAGTTTGAGTTACTAAATGCGACATTCAACAACAGTAACAATTTATGTTGCTCGTAACTCAAAGTTTGGTTAACTGTTAATTGAACATTGAGTTACAATTTGTGTGTAGTTTCCCAAAAGTGGGTGTGGTTTTATTTTAGTGATCGTCAAGAAACACTGGAAAACTCTAATGTACACACTCGCACTGATTGTTTTGGTAAGCACGACAATCAACATATACATGTATGTGTATTAGTGTTGTTATCAAAAGGAAACTTGTGGGCTGCAATAGGTAGTATAAAATGTTTTCACTCTTATCGTACATTTATATATTAGTACTTGCCTCATCAAGTGTAACTCGCTGGCCTGAAGATTATGTTGAATATTGATTGAAAGCTATCTCACCATACATGACAGCATGTTTGTCAACTCCACCCACCACCCATGCATCCTACCAGCTAACCCGGCCCCTGAATGACCAAACCGAAGGGGCACTAATCTACAGTAAGTGCCTCGATCTTGTCAAGTGTCATAGAAATCATGATCCATACTCACTTCCCGTACAAAACTATACCGCCCGTTTTGGCAAAAGTAATCAAATACTACACTCTCTTGTCCAACCATCGGACACTATTGTAAAATTCACAATTACGGGTAAGCACTGTATTACACAAGATGTGCCCGTACTACAGTTCTTCAACTACATCCGGATGTCCAACTGCCGCAAGTGATAATTATAGAACGATTTATTTTGTGGAGTAAGTCAGAAATATCTTCATACTATCACTAAGCCTGTCGTTACTAAATGGAATTGCTTTCCTAATAATAATATTCGAAACTGTAAAGGTGTTAAACGCTAGTCATACAATTTATTATGAAAAACGAACGAAATACACTTACTGGTAATAAGGATCTGATTTTCTTTCGCAACGCCATGTCAAACTACAAGATATACCAGAAATTGTGATTTTGTTGGTGGACGAGCAATCATATAAATCCGGAGGTAGCCATCTTGGAACAGACAATCACATGACCTTTACATCTGGGCTATAGAGGGCGTGTTTAGCTTGCCTTTTACAACACCGGACTGACGCACAATCGCTTGTAACAAAATAGTAGTTAAGGTAGAAGTCTACTAATCATTTTTGAGAAAATTGGTCATAAATTGCATGACAATGTTCATTGGTTTATCATGTATATTATTATCATGGAGCTATTGTCCAATGGCACCTTAAAATAGCATTCTTTTGTGTGTTACAGTGACCTATTTTGAGAAACTTGTGATATTTTTTCAAAAAATCGCTATTTTTAGAACAATTCTATAGAGCATAATGTTAAACAAAAATTGCATTTTTTGACACTTTTTACAACCCAGATTTTTGTAATAATTCAGGAAAACAAAAAGTACCCCATCATTAACAATATATTAATTTTTCAGCCTATGTCACCAGCCTACACTTTGAGATATGGCATAATATCACTGCCATAGGAACCTAATGTAAAAGCACTATAATACTTCCAAAATGGCCATTATCCACTAAAATATAACCACCATTTTCTCAAAAATTATGCGGGTGACCCGAACTTTTTTTTTTTTTTTTTTGCCCGGAAGCACAATTTATTAAAAATGGATAAATTCTGGGTATTTGAATTCAAGTTCATGAGCAGGCTTCTACCTTGAATACGACTTTAATCAAACATCTGTTGACCTTTCTGTGTATAAGAAATTGTATCATTTTTTATGTCGTTTGATTCCGAATGTGTACAGATGTGAACTCAAGAATTTAATAATTTGGCAGTGGCGAATAGAATAATATCACCATGAAGAAAGTTTGACATTTTTTTGGTCACAATGTCGAAATTGTTAGAGAAATGAATGAAATTATGATAGACTGTACATATTTACAAAATTAAAAGGGTTATACACAGTGATACCATCGCTTTCCATGAATTTGTTTATGTGTTAATTTCGCTTGAGCGCGGACCTGAAATGTTCATCATCACGGTTCATCATATTTTGATGATCTGGATATAACAGCAAAGATCCCGAGGTCAAGACAATATCACCTACATCTGGGTATAACCGCAATGATCAGACCACAAGTTCCAGATATAACCACAAGAATCCATACTCCGAAGTTCAGATAATATCACCTACACCTGGATATAACCGCAATGATCCAGACCCCGAAGTTCAGACACTATCACCTACACCGGGATATAACCGCAATGATCCAGACCCCGGAGTTCGGGCAATCTCAACTACATCTGGATAAAACCACAGGGATCTAGACCCGGGGTCCAGATATAACCAGAAGAATCCATACCCCGAGGTCCAGATATAACCGCAAGAATCCAGACCTCGAAGTCCAGATAATATCACCTACATCTGGATATAACCACAAAGATCCAGCCCCCGATGTCCAGGTGTAACCACGGAAATCCATAGCCCGAGCTTCATATATAACCACAATATTCCATACGCCGAGGTCCAGACAATATCACCTACATCTGGATATAACCGCCAGGCCCTTGGGTCCAGACAATATCACCCACATCTGGATATAACCGCCAAGATCCAGGCCCTGGGGTTCATACAATACTACCTACATTTGGATATAACCACCAGGATCCAGGCCCGGGGTCCAGACAATATCCCCTATATCTGCATGAGTTCAGTGTTTACTAACAATTATAAATTAGTGTGACATCGTTGAAAAATATTCGAAAAATTGGGAAGATATCATCAGAGTGCTCCTCCAATACACCTGTTCTAAAGGCGCCCTCTTACGACACTACTGTGAAGTTGTAAATGAAATGAAGGTAGTTCTCAAAGTCGCTATGGTCTATGCAAAACGCTACTTACCACAGTACCTCTATATAAGGACTGTATACAAAATTATGCCACTTGATTTCATTGACTCTTTTAGTATCTTAGAACGCAGACATTTTTTGAACATACAAAATTCAAAATTATACATTCAATTAACGTGTGTAGAACTTTTCTATTGTTTTAATAGTGTCGTAAAGAAAAACAGGGAAAGAAACTTCGAGTACGTTCATGGGTCGGCGACGCAAACGCCGCAGCGTATTCGAAAAAAAACGTAGTTCCACAGGGACAAACATTATGCAGAATAACGGTATACTGTCAAAATGAAAAATAATTGAAAATAAATCGTATACTAGGTTTCGTCTTTGTTAAAAAAAAAAACACTTTAAAATCTCGGTCTGACTTCCGTAACTGTATAATTAATCAAGTCACCATGCTTTTCAGATTCCGTTACGAGAATTGTCCCCCCCCCCCTAATCCAGCTGATTGATACATTAAACAACAAGCGTTTCCAGATTAGAGACAAAGGGAATACGTGCTGGTATATAACAAATCATAATTGTTTAGGATATGCTACATTTTCACCTCGTTGCTAGGGGTGCAAGTTATATATATAAAATATATATATATAAGTTATATATATAAAATAATTCATTTGTGTGTGTTCTTACACGTAGAACCACATATCACAGCGTCAAAACTATTGGAGGTTTTGTAAACGAAAGCTCCACAACTTGAAATAAAATTGCATATTTTTTTGTTATGTTTCTTGTACATGTATTACTTAGTATTTGTTAACTATATATTTATTGTTAACAACTGATAGGAATGTTTTCCAAAGATAAAATAACATATTCAGTCTGTTATTGTTACCGTGTGGCTAACGCAGGACACCTCACTCAATACATCGACAACGTCTTTTGTAGTAACTGTTCGAGGAGCTCGGGTACGAGCTACTTTCACCCTATCTGAAGCAATAAAAGAAGGAGTACGGCACCATCAAGTGTTCAAAGTACACATGACATGGCAACCATTCGCTGTCTTATAACACTGATTAATATTTATTGCTTTTAATTTGCGTAACTACTATACTCCAATCTGAGAATGT